CTCTCTTTTTTGCTCTTTCACACATTTCAAAATCCCAAACCCAGATATAGGTAAAATAAAGGAAAATAGCTTGATTTTCAAGGTACCATTGCCCACAGAGCTTGGAAATAATGTGATTAAATTAACAACATTGTTACATTTAACTAAGGTTTATCTAACCTCTGTAGTGTCAATGTGGTCTAGTGGTTTGAGTGTTGCCCCATGACTTTAGAGACCATGTTTGAATCCACTTTCAGCAATGGAAACCCACTGGTGACTTTGGGCAAGTCACACTCTCACAGCCTCGAAGGATGGCAAAGGCAATAACCCCTCTGAACAAATCTTGCCAAGAAAACCCTGTGATAGGTTTACCTTAGGGTCATCATAAGTCAGAAATGACTTGAAGGCAAACAACAACAACAACTTCCTCTTTTTTAATTTTTATTAAATTTTATTAAACAGTTATAAAACACACATAGGTTTTTTTCATATACACATACAATAACAACAAACAACAATATTCAACCACTAATATTAAACTTTGAACATTACATTTATACCTCTTCCTTTGCATTTATCACCTTTCATTAATCAATCAATATCTCATTAAACACTTTGTCTACTCCTCTAAGACTTGTCCATTACATATATATAGCACAACTAGTGCTATATATAACAACAACAACTTCTTTGGGTGATGATTTCTTACTGAGGTTGATGGCCTGTTTTCACATTTTAAAAAATAGCTCTGTGATGGTCACATCCAAGTATGTTCAATCACCCCTCTTTAATGCAAAGAGAAGAGCAGGCCAGTCCTGCTACTTCTGTCTATAGTTCACTATCGCACATGAAAACTGATGAGTCTCAACATCCTATGAGTGGATGTTCTGAAAGCCGACAGAAATTTAATTCAGGGTTTCCAACTGTGTAGAAAGCACCCATGCATAAGGAGAACCTTCCTATTCTGACTCATTGCGCCTTTTGGGAGGAGAACAATAGTGCTAGAGATGAAAGGACCAAGACTAGTCTGCTCTTCTCATCCCATGTTGTTTGAGCATGGATAGATAGCAACTCAGGGCTGTATTCCAGTCCAGTCACCTAATTCCTTCTCTTTTTGAAGAGGGACACCAATGTCACCTCCATGTGGCAGGCCAAATGCAACCTACCAAGAACAACACTCCCATTTTTGTTGGTCACATCAGAAATAAGGGTGGGAGGAAGAACTCCAGAAGAACTGTGACTAGAATTCAACATCATAGGATAAATATAGCTTTTAAACAGCAGAATTAGAAGAGAAAAGAAAGATTTGAAAAAGAATGAGGAAAACCCATTTTCCTCATTCCAGCCTCAGGAGGACTGTCAGCAAACATTAATTAGGTGCAAAATATTGAAGATCATATCTGGTCCTTTAAAAGCTTCATGTGGTCAAAGCTTGGGAAAGTTCCTGTTTTGCACTTTCCCAGGATTTCAAAAACAACTGCAGTGTTTCCACAAAAACACTTAATACTCTCCCTCCCTTTCAATTTTAACATTCTTGTATTGGAAGAGTTGGAAGTTCCAGGTCTGGAAGGGAGGGTGCTGTCAACATCTCCCACTTTGTTCCCAAAAGCACTCTATATGGAAGCACATAGAGTTTGTTGCAGGTACATAGTATTGCTTAAATAAATGCTATATCACAAAGGAAATTGATATTTTAAAAAAGATTAAAAAAGGAATTATAAATTGTGATTGGGGACTAATTAACTTTGGAGGTTATCGCACCTCCTCCCAGAATCCGACTTAAAAAAATGGCTACTGGAGTGCATTTCCCAATTCACATTGGAGAGGGGATGCACGTGGGCAGCTCTTTTAGGAGCAAAAGCTGTGCAATAAGACCTGGCTCCAGCCCGAATTGGGCTCTAATTCACAAGGGGTAAACTGGGTCCAGGAGGAGGTGTGATAATCCCCCCATACTCTGTTTTGAGGGGTTTGAAAATCTGACTATCTCAGTTTCATTGCATTTTTCAAAGCTCATCTCCATTTTCCCCATTGTTGCATTGTGTCAGATTGCATGATTTGGGGTTCTTTGGACGTTATCACACTGGCCCTAAAGCAGCGTCATTTCAGCGT